CCCCAATATCAATGATATCAACATATACTTAATAATTATTGTCTGATTTTTGAAAGTGAAAACAAAAGTATTATGTACTAATGAAGTTTCCTCAATTTTGGATTTCATTTTTGATCTCCAGGAAGATGTACTATGACAAGAAGGGAAAAATATTAAGTGATATACCATAGAGAATCATTTTTTGAAAATGCTATCAAATGGACAAATTAGAGCTATGGTTCTCATTTTTTTTTAAGTCCTGGGTTTCATGACTCCTGCTTTTGGAAACACTAAATTCAACTATTGCAGTTGTTTTCATATAATTGTAAAAATAGGGCTAGTAGAGATGTCAGACACCATCTAGCACAACCACATCATTTTATTTTTTATGAAAAGTAAGCCTGGGGTTCACTTGGCAAAAGTTATAAAAGTTGTTCATTCAGTGATATATGGAACATTTCATTATAATGTAAACTCCTTGACAGAATGGACTATTTTGTTTTTGTCTTTGTAATCCCTCTACTTAGAATACTTCCTTGCATATATATGCAATTAATAAATTTTTCTTGAATTTAATTGTCTTGAATGTGGTGCTATAAATGATTATAAATTATATAATAATTTGATTTGCTTGGCATCTGGAATATGGTAGCACAGAATGATTCTATTTGATAATCTTATGAGAAGATATATTTAATCAATCAGCACTTCTGGGTGAAAGATGAATGGATTAATGACATATGTTAATTTTATTTGTTTACTTACATAACAGTTTCCAAGTGATCTCATTGAAGAATAAGAAAATTGATCACACACAAACTATATATATATATATATATACATATACATATACATATGTTTATTTGTTGTTTGGTTGTTTCAGTCTTTTCTGACTCTTCATGACCCTATTTGGGGTTTTCTTGGCAAAGATACTGGAGTAGTTTGCCATTTCCTTCTCAAGCTAATTTTTACAGATGAGGAACTGAGACAAACAGGGTTGAATGACTTTCTCAAGATCATACATCTAGTGAATATCTGAGGCCATATTTGAACTCCAGAAGATAAGTCTTTTTGCCTCCAGACCTGGCACTCTATCCACTGTGCCACTTAGCTACCCTAAACCTAAACAGTGCTATGCCAACACACACAAAAAAATAATTTTACAACCAACCTGTGATATAAAGATATGCAAGACTAAAATAAAAAGCTATTTTTGCTCCAAGAGGGTAGCAACAAGTTCATATGGAAAGAACTGAATTAGATGAAAAGCAGCCACAAGCTAGGTCCTAGAGGAGTTTCAAACTTCCCCAAAGTAGAAGATTTTGAAGACAAATCTAAACTATGGGAATCAGCTTGGCATGTGAGTGTAGAAACAAATCAGATAGAGAAATAACAATAGGTAAAGTAAAAATGGAAGTAGATAGGAGAAGGGAAGAAAGAGGACCAATTACATCAGCCAGCATTATGAAATTAGAGTTAATCCAGATACATAGAAGAGAAACATTTTATATTCAAACACATATACATCATACACACACATAATGTTTGTATACACATACTTGGAAATACATACGTTAATAAATTGTGTTTTCAAAGTGCAGCAAAGATATGATGACTTAAGTAGGGTACATAGACAATATGGCAAAATATATTCAAATTCTGAAGAGGATATATAACATTATTATAATTTCCTCTACTCTGTGTTTGCTTACTTCTTTCCCTAGGCTTAAAACAATGGTATGCCATTTTAATGCCCAGGAGGTCAGAGTTACTGAGTAGGGAGATAACATGGTCAGACCTGCACTCAGGATGATAATTTTGATGGCTGAGTAGAGGACAGACCGGAGTGAGGGAAAAACTTGTGACAAAGAGACCAGCCAACAGAATATTGTAATAGTCTACATATGAGGTAATGAGGACCTGCACCAGGGCAGGGTAACAATTTTAGATGGGAAGGGGGGTATATGTGAGAAATGTTATCAAGGTAACATTGACAGGCCTTGGCAGGTGATGGAATATAGGGAGTGAGAGAAAGTGAGTTGTCAAGGATAACACCTAGGTTGTGAGCTTGAGTAACAAGAAGGATGGTGAAATGCTTGACAGTAATAAGGAAGTTGGTAAAGGGGGAAGGTGTGAGGAGAAGTCTTATGTAATGAGTTTGGTTTTAGAAAAGCTGAGTTTAAGATATCTAGTTCAAGATATCTAATAGACAGTAGGAGATTAGAGATTGGAGGTCAGCAGAGAGGTTAGAACTGAATAAGGAGATTTGAAAATCATAAGCATAGAAAGCAAATATAGGAGAAGGGGGCCCAGACAGAGCCTTGGGGTTATATTCACAACTTCTCTCACATCTATTTCTGCAATATCCCTTTTATGGCCCCTTCTTTTTTCCCACTATCAAGTTTTTATGACCAATGTACATGCACTATTATACTGACTTTCTTACAGGTTTTACTATCTATACTCTTTCACTCCTCTTATCGTATCTAAAGTATTTTTTTCATGCCCAGACCTGGAAATGTAATTCTTCTGCTCAAAAATCATCATTAGTCCTTATCACTTCCCAAATATATTTATTGAACAAAAGGGTGATAATGATAAATAACTCCAAATAAAGTTAGAACTTTTTTGCCTGGCATTCAAGACTTAAAGCCACCTGGTACCACCCTACCATTCTTGCTTTCTCTCATTACTGCTATGGTCCAGCCAAACTGGACAACTCTAAGCCTCCTGAATACACATTGTATATTTATGCCCCCTGTTACTTTGCTCATGTTGTTCTGTTTGCTTGGAATTTTCTCCTCAGTCTTTGACTTTTGAAATTCTGCCTGTTGCCTCAGAGCCAATTCAAATCCTACTCCCTCCAAGTTATTGATAATCCTGCTCTCAAAACTCACATAGAACATTACTTTGTAACTCTAATCAACATCATATAATGTCATGCATGCTAGTTATTCATGCTATTCTTCTCTTCTTGTTGAACTGAAAGTTTTTGGTAACTCTATCAGTACATAACAAGGCACTGTACACAGCAGGCAATTAATAAATGTTGTTTATTGTTGTATTTTCATTTATTTTAATTCTCATGTCCTCTCACACAGTTACAGAAATATCAGTAAATATAGGGATTGAAATAAGTTTCTCTTTCATTTATATAAACCAACTGTGAAGGAGGGATGGCAAACATAGAGAAAGAAAAATAAGGTCTGGCAATGTATCAATTTGATACATTGATTCCTATTGCTACCTCACAGAAACTATTTCAAAGTACAAGGACTTAATAGAATACAAATGCTTACCAGAAAGCACATAGCTTCCCAGTATTTTGATTAAGGATTATAGATATCCCAGCAATGATTTCCAGATACTACTGCCAGCCTCCATAGCAAAATGAAAACCCTTTTTAAAATAGTGTTGCTACTGCTAAGCCATTAAGAATTTATGCTCAGTATTAAATCAGATTTCAGAATTATAGAAAGGTCATATCTACTGTCTAGGAGGAAGGGTAATTCAATTAAATAGAAGATTCAAATTAGAATCATAAGAAAGTCATAGAATCATAAAATGCTAGAGTTGAAAGGGCCCATAGAGATTCTCCAGTCCACCCCCTTCATTTTGTAGACTGAGAATGGAGAAGTAACCTCATCAAAGTCATACAGGAAATGAATGCCAGAGCAAGGATAAATTCAGGCATCTTTGCTGATCTAGCAAATTTTCCACTTCAAGTTTGGGATGTTCAGGGAGGACTAATACTTCTGGTATGAGGGCTTGCCAAACCATTTTCAAGGCTGCTTATCCACCTTTGATGTCTGCCTGTCACCCAACTCTCACCTGTGGCTCCAGGAAGCTGTATCATGCACAGCAGCCACACCCTGGTAAAACCATCTCACCAGATGGGCTAAACCAGGTTGAGGGTAACCAACAGGCCTCAAAACCATCAGTGAGTTAGGGGGATGTCTACCTCAAGCATGTGAAGACTTCCCCTGGCAGAATGAGTAGATGAGAACAATTTGTTCCAACTTGCATGAAGGCAGCTGGAGCAGGTGCCATGGAGTGCTTATAGCTTGGTCAGACATTGAAGATACCAAAGTCATTCACTGTATCCCAGGACATTGCCAACCATCTTGACTTTTGTCTTACCACTGGGCTTGGATGACTCTGGAAGAAAAAGTGAGGCTGACAACTTTGCACAACTTAGATCTGCTTCACTTAAATCCAATTCATGCACAAGTCAAGACATCACCCATCATGATGTCATTGATCCTCTTTAAAAATGAAGGATGAACAACAACATAAATTACAATAACAATAACAAAGTTGTTTCTAGACTATTTCATTTTGATAAGTAAATCTTGTATTTCTATAGCTTCTATAGGATTTGGATATTAGAGATTTCCATAAGTTGTTAACTAATTAATTTCAAAAAGCATTTATTAATGCTCTAATAGTTTCATTGTGCTAATCTCATCTTTGACTAAGTTGTAAGCTCCTTAGGAACAGTGAGCATATCTTCTGTTTTTTTGTTTTCCTCTCAGCATTGCCCATGGTGCTAGAAACAGGCTGATTGATTGATTATTTGAAGGCTGTGTTAATGTGATTTCATAAAAAAAAAAAAACTGAAGACAAAAGAGAGAGCCAAAAGAAGGAAGATGAGACAGTTAAAATTATATATATATATATATATATATATACACACATATATATATATGTATGTATGTATATATCTATATATGCATGTATGTGTGTATATATATATGTATATATATGTGTATATATGTATATATATGTGTGTGTGTATATATATATATATATATATATATATATATATATATATATATATATATACTTTTTCAGGTTATACCTTTGATTGGCCCAAGTAGATCTATACAAGGATTGAGATTTATTCAGCTACTTTGTAATTTCACGTTACTGTGATATGACTAATATTTCCATAATTCATTAGCATTATAACAAACAAGTTTAGAATATATGCTAACTGTATTTTTTCCTCTTTGTTTTAGTTTGTTCCCAGTATTCTCGAGGAGTTTTTGCCATTTTTGGACTCTATGATAAGAGGTCAGTACATACTTTGACCTCATTCTGCAGCGCCTTACACATCTCCCTCATCACACCAAGTTTCCCTACCGAGGGGGAGAGTCAATTTGTGCTGCAACTGAGACCTTCTCTCCGAGGAGCGCTCTTAAGTTTGTTGGATCACTATGAATGGAACTGTTTTGTTTTCCTATACGATACAGATAGAGGTAAGTTTTAATCCACTTTCTTTATCAGCAGAATTCTAAATGTCAAACTGAAAGGGCATTTCTGTTTCTCTGAGCTCCCTGTATCATGACTGAACAAAAGGCCTTGAAATCTTTGAAGGACTGAAAGCAATCCTTCATAGAATGTTTTCAGTTTGTTTTCATTTTTTGTTTATTTGTTTGTTTTGAATTATATTTTGAGCAATTTCTTCTTTACCCTAGGGAGAGATTTTTAAGTGAATATGCTTCAAATTCAGTCTATCTTTTCTAAAGAAACCAAATGCTTGTCACTTTAACAAACCTACAATAACTCTGAAAATATTTCTATTTACTCCTGTGATGACATTTTTGTATAGTCACTAAAAATGTTTTCCCCCAAACTTAGCACAGTGATTTTCTTCCAAATCTGAAACATATTGAAAAAATATAAGTACTGTCTATAGCAGTAAGTTTGAAATATATGAACTGCACCTGAGTAATTGAAAGGTCATGCCAATGACAGAGGAGATTGGATGGTAGTCTCCTGTACTTTTTGCCATCTTATATTTTATCTTTGCTTTGCAGGTAGCAGAGATTAGTGATGCCAACTGCCCTACATGCTGGAAAATTCAGCCAAAAATCAAACTAGTGTTACAATGATAGAGAAAACAATGTTCAGCAGTTGATATATTTGCCTTTCCCAATTTAATCTATAACTTAATTAGTCCCCAGATTTTCATATTTCACTTCATTCTGTTTTTATCTAGTGACTGGAAATTAATAGTGCTGAAATAATAGGATCATGGTGTAGATATTAAGATAATACACGATGAACAATACACATTCACTTAAAGTTGATTTTTCTTTAAAGTACATTCATCTTAACATGCAGCTGCAGTTAGAAAGTGGGAATTCAGAATTAAATCTGAAGCAGAAAACATCTTGACAATATTCCTTGGATAATCATCACTTTAATTAGCAAGCATAACACATTCCCAAATAAATAAACTTAAAGATAAGTATTTCCTTTTAAAAAATGAAAAACAAGATTGTCTATGTTCAAGACATTTTTCAGGATAAAAAAATTATACTATTTAATCCTTAATTAAAATTCATGTGCTTCATTAGATAGAGACAACATGGCCCAGTAGACAATGTCATACCAAGGTTGGGCTTTGCACATAATTTAGAACAGCCTGCACAGCAAGTTATCCTTCCAAGCTTCACAATGTTATAACCAGAAGCAAATCTTATCTAGAAATAAGGGGACATGGTATGGGAGACTTCTTCATTTCTTAAAAATGAAAAACTTTCCTATTAAGCATTCCATGTTACAGAATTTTGTACTTTTGTTCATTTCTGTCTACTTTGATAAGTGTGCTTCAGGTTGACTAGTGTGTTGTATTAAAGAAAAATACTCGTGCTGCAATGAAAACCAGCCTTTCTCTCTTATTTAAGTTCAGTTCTACCCCTTTTCACAAAAGGGCATATTAATTATGTGTCCTTCTGGCCTCGTGGAAGTGTCTGGGTGACTAATTATTTAATTTTTATCTAGTTCATTTCTTCAACAAGTATTTATTTATTAATATCATCATAAATAACAATGATTCAGCTGATAACATCTCTTACTTGGTGACTTCACCAGCTCCCATAGGTTCAGTTATTATCTCTAGACAGATAACTCTTTTTATCTTTTGTGTAGACCTTAGCATTACAAACGTTTCAGTCTGTGCCATAAACTACTTTCTAAGGCCAACAGCTTTCATCAAAACAAGCCACGTAAAAATAGTGTTCAGATATAATACTTAGAATACTTAAATGAATCTTTGATTTCATGAGTGTGAATATTCCTTCTGATTTGGCAGATTACAATCCATTCTTGCCTTCCCATCCTAGATAGGTTTTGTTCATATCCTCCCATAAATTCACCAGAGGAGATACAAGGGTCTTCCTCAGTCTCCCTTAATATCACAACAATACCAATGGGGAAAACATGTGTTTGCTGTACAAAATTCCTCTTTTTGATCATACATTTCTTCAATGACTTTTAAAAATCTGGTTCTTCTTTGTTAGTAGTGCTTTATGTATTACTTGTTAGGGTGTACTCATACACCTAACCTGTGCTTCTCAATTGCCCTGAGTCTCACTTTTAACTCTTTATTAACTGGAGTATTTCATAACTTGTAGTCATAAATACCACCAGTATAGATAAAGCAGTTTTTTTAACCTAATTCTATTCAATGCATAAAGATGAATATTGAAATTTTCACAGCTGCTTCAGTTATAGAAGAATATTTCAATTTAAAGTGAAACTTCTAGTCCTCTCTTCAGTCATAGGCTGTCAAATAAAGAAAACTACCTTCTAAAACTACTTTTCTATGTAATCTTGGGAAGAATATTAGTTCTTTGGGGACTATTGTTTCACTTTATAGTTATATATTATTAATGTATATATATGAAATATGTAATTATGCATTACATATGATATGTTATGCAAAATATATTTAATGTATATAATTATTAGAGATGGTGTTGCATAGTGAATAAAGATCTGTCCTCAAAGTCAAGAAGACCTGGATTTGAATCTTATCTTTTCATATTAGTTATGTAACTATGGGGAAGTAAATTTATCTCTCAGTGCCTTATGAAACTTTCTAAGACCCTGAGTTGCATAACAGTTGCTAAACTGCATTGATACAGAAAATATCCTCACCAGGGATTCCCTGTACCAATGCAAAGCATTGGTATAAGACATAGACAAAACAACAACATGAAACCAAAAAAAATGGAAATATTTAATAATGGTTTATAAAGGTTGATTTAACACCTGAATTTACAAATCCAATTAGAATGGATCTGGTATGAGCCAATCAATCAATCAATAAACATTTATTAAGGGTCTACTATGTGCCATGTATTGATTGCTTTAATATTAAAAATATTTTGAAGGTGGGTGTAGTTTTTTTTGTTTATAAACAAGTTTGTTTTAAAGAAACTGTTTAAAATATTTAGCTTTCTAATAACATAAATAATAATTGCCTTTAAAATGTCAGCAGGATTGCCCCCATCCTCCTCCCTGCCCTTACTACCTCAAGAATGAGACATTGAATTTAACCATGCACTATTATCTACACTGTCAGTTTGGACTTGAAAGATATTTAAATTATACACCTGTTTTCGTTTTCCATGCAATTGCGTATTTATGATTTGTGTGTGTATGATTTCTAACTATTTCCATAGTTGCCAGTACAAAGGTTAAAGTTATGACCTGAGGAGACATGAACCTGTTGATTTTAATATTCTGGATATCACTGTTGACATTTTTCAAATATGTGACCTAAGTTCTAAGATGTTGACCTTACACCCAAGATAAGCAAGGTTTTGCATTCATATTTCATATTGTTATTTTCCTGGCACTTCAACTTTTAATATGTCAATTTCTGATAGGCTAATCATAATATTGGAGAGGTCATATCCTTTTTTTTTACTATAGCATTTCAACAAATATTATGAAGTGATATATTAACAATGCCAAATAATGTATGTGTGGAATTCCAGAGATGCAAGATTTTTGCTTTGTCTTGAAGCATGACTTGTTTCTGTTAATGGCACAAAAGTTCCTGAATGACAGAAGTGGTACATTTTAGAATAGATTCTTGACCCCTAAGTGATTATATTCTGAAATGGTATTTTAAACATATGCTACCAAATTAGAAATTTATTAGACGTACAACTACTACTTGAAGTTGTATGGACGAAAGGGGTATAGTTTGGGATTTTCTTTTGTTTTTTGGTGAATTTGCCTTCATTGACCTTTCCTGGGTCCATGTAAATCAATTCAGAGTCTTTATTTTACTTTTTTGTGCCCTTATATTCTATAACTTTTCCCATCTTTCTTTTCCCCTTATTTTTCCATTTATCTCTTTCCTTTCCCATAGAGCAATTGAAGGTAGGTCTTTATTTCACAATTTTGCTATCAGCCCACAGTGTGAACGGGACATGGTCACTGTTGATAACTAGTCACAATGAGAACCACTTATTTTCCTGTTTTCTACCACCTTAGTCACGCAATTTTGAATGGTAGGGTGATAGTATTCTACTCTGTCCTATATATGAATCCTTTCTACATATTCCTTATCAACACTCTTCCAGACATTGTTTAATTATGCAAGTAGTATGGTTATCTGATCACCTCATTGGACATTTTATTCCACTTATGGACCTTTTCAGCTAACAAAAAATTGTTCCTAATGTTTAGCCTAAATCTGCCTTCATGCAAGTGATCCCATAAACCCCACAATTCTATTTCTTCCCTCTGGAGATACCCAGAAAAAGTTTCAACCATCTTTCACAATATAACCCTTCAAATATTGGAAAACAGGGATCATATCTTCCCTGTTTCTCTGCTTCTCCAGGTTAAATATCTCCAGTTTCTTCAAGTTGTCCTCACATGACAAAATTTGCCATCTCAGAATATTTTTCAAATTTTTATGAAAGAGTTCTAGTTTGTCAATGGACATCTTACAAAGTAGGTCCCAAAACTAATCCCCAAACCTCCAGATGTAAAAGAATAATGAGGGAATTTCCTATCTTGTTCTGTGCTCAACAATTAACCTTTAAATAACCTAAGATTGCATTATCTTTTTTGGCATCCACATCACATTTAAACACTTATTGAACTAGCTGTCAATGAAAACCTCCAGGATTTCTTCACATGAATTGCAATTAAGCCAGATATCTGATATCCTATACTCCTGCACTTGAATTAAAAAAAAAAAGCAACACAGTTGTCATTATTAAATCTCACCATGTTAAAGTCAATCCATTATCTCAACATATCTATATCTGTCTAAATTCCGATTCTTTTAACCCATGTATTCACTATCCCACCCAGCTTTATATCATCCAAAAATTTGAAGGAAATAAAATTTCTTCAATTTAATCCAAACCATTGATTAAAAACATTTAAGAGAACTAGATCAAAAATAAATTTCTGTATCCCATCCTTCTGACCCCTTCATGTA